TATCCTGTCATTATATACAAAATAGGTCTAGCATAGAGACAGATTAAAATCACACATAGGTCTAACCCCAGACAGAGTAAAATTCTCTTCATCAAGGGTAGTTTAACATAGCTGTTCCATAAGACATATAGTAGTTAGATTCTGCTAGCAAAAATGTCAGTTTTTGAGAGGGGATAACATCTCTAATACGAGCAACGAGAGGATCAAGATATTGAGTCCTCAACTCTAGATACAAAGGAGATTCCAGAAGGAAATGGCCTCAGTTTTCCATCTTTCTACAGCCATGTGGACACCATCTACTTACAGTGTGTATGCCTTCATATCATCCTTTGACTTCCATTATAAAGAGCACGATGACAGCTAGGAGTCTGGTCTTGGAGGAATTTTTAGGCATGTCGGACAAAAGCCATTCTCCCCTTCCTAAATTGTGGCTTTTACTTTTCAGGGGGACGTGGGTGGTGCTCGTACTTTGCAGAAGCGGTGGACGACGTTTCTCAAGGCCCGTTTGCTGTGCTCCATCCCCGAACAGCAGCTGCATTTCAACCGAATCCAGGGCTCCTACATGCTGAATGGAGATCACTGGCGGGAAACCAGTTTTTTCGGGGTCTTCCAGGCACGCTGGTAAGCCAAGGGGGCTCAGGGTTTTCTGCTCTGCAGGGTTAGTTGTGCAACTAGCTATCTGTATGATGCATGAATGTAAAACTAGACTAGACTAATCTGCTTAAATGATGCAGTTTGACACCACTGGAACTGCCATGGCTCAATGCTATGGACTATTGGAATTTGTAGTTTTGTGTTAGTCTTTCTGTCAAAGAGCTGTGGTGCCCTAACAAACTATAAATCTTAGGATTCCATAGGATTGAGTCATGGCAGTTAAAGCAGTGTCAAAACTGCATTAATTCTGCAGTGCAGATTAGACCGAAGATATTGAATTTTTGGAATTTAGATATTTTAAAAAATATTTTCAGCATGGAGAACCTCCCTATACACTTTGTAAAAGGGAGGAAATGTCTGGCCCTTAGGGCTTTGTGTTTACCCTAAGAAGCCCATGGATAATGCTTGCCGAAATTTCAGAGACCTGAACAGTGACTAAACAAAACTTCCAGTGGTTGCAGGTTAAACTTCAATGTCTGGTACATCTCCCTTTGTTCCATACTCTTCCATGGTGTGAGCATCACCTGTCCAAAAATGTGTAACACAAGATTACGGAAGAGAAATGGATCTTTTATTCCAGAATAGATAAGCAATAAGATAAGGTAAACAGGTCATGCAAAACAAATGATCTCATGTTAAAAAAAACGGGGGCAGAGTTGCATGATTTATGCATTGAAAGTAAGGTGGACTTTTCACTCCTGGAGGGCCTTCCCTTTCTTCATGCCAGCCATTCAAAGGTAAACAAGACAATAGAAATATTTCCAAAAATTCCCTGTCTTTTCCTGCAGCATTTAAAAGGAGGGGGGGGGTAGCCAGAGCTTTGGAAAGTTACTTTTTGGGTTACATCTCCCCAAATCTCACAGCATAGCAGATTATGCTGAGTTGTAGGCTGCATCCGCAATGCAGAAATAATCCAGTTTAACTGCCAGGGCTCAGTGCTGTGCAATTCTAGGAATCGTAGTTTTGCTAGTCTTCTCTGTCAAAGAGAGCTCTGGTGCCAAAACAAACTACAGTTCCCAGAATCCCATAGCATTATGCCACAGCAGTTACACACCAGCAGTGGGTTGAAATATTCTGCATGGATCGAAATCTTCCCTGTCTTGGATGTCTTTAACCCTATTTTTGTTCTCTCCTTTTTCCTGTGCAGGGGAGACGTCGATGTTTCCGCTGTATGCCAATATCAGATTTTGGATGTGCAGAAAGTGTTTGATGGTCCCTACAAGGAGTACAGCGAGATCGCCCAAAAGTGGATCCGTTATTCAGACCAGGAGCCCGTCCCTCGCC